ATTGGAACTAAATGTTGGTTGTGTCCCTGAAAATTGCCCTTGAACAGCAGGTTAGAGGCCTTTGATAAGGAGGTCTCTTTTGTTAAGGGAAGGTAAAGGCTGATTAATCCCGGAGAACAAACATTTACATTTTATCATACTAATCTCTAACAGGTATGATTAGCATATTTATCTGATGAGTATTTGGGATACAACACTCCCTTACCTAAATTCAAGTTTGTGTCACTTAATACCATCAATTCTACACTTCTACATCCACAGTTTACCAATGGCCCACTACTCTCTACACTGGAGATAGTAGCATTAATTAAAATTTGTCTTAATAATAAAAACCAGGAGTCAGATATAGGGTTTAATGATGAGTAGCAGAGCAGCTAGCCCCTAGGTCTCACTTCTACTGAATCCTCAGACAAAAGGGCTGATCCTGTCCTTAGGAACCTTCAGAATGAATACATGGGATTCTATCTCCTCCCACCTTATATTCCTCTCTCAGCCCAGCCATACTACCCCTATCTCCAACTCGCAAGTACTGGAATTTAAGACTTGAGCCACCACAAACGACTGGCTGTTTCTCTTTTAATTGAATCAATCTGGTATGGCCCAGATTGGCGTTGAACAGAAAGATCTACCTGTCTCTGTTGCTGGGACCTTTGTTCTCTGCTAACGTTGTCGTCCCTTGAGATGTGCTGCAGGGAAGGAGGAAAATGCCACTAGTGGATGGCAACTGACAGCAATAGATGGAGAACCTGAGGGATGGGGGAATACTGGGGATGGAGAAAATAGCACTCTGCTAGCAAGGTCTTTTCGGTCTCCAAAGCCTGAAGAAGTTCTTACTGGGGATTCTGACGTCCAGCCTAAGGGTGCCATGCTGTAGCATGGGAACATTCTAGACAAGTAGTCATCAGACTCCGGATTCGTCCCTCAGCTGATCAAGCTTATTTGAGGTGTGCTGGTCCTTTCTCCCTTTCCCTATTCTACCTGGGGAACTGCTGGGTGGTGCCAAGCATGGACGACTCCTAGCTTCTGGTCTATCTGGCTGCCTGCATGCCTCAAGTCTCTGCTCAAGGATGCAGGCTCAGCAGCAGTGGGGGCTTGACTTGTATGCTCTCGAAGCCCAGCCCGCAGGGCTGAGGACTGAGCCAAAAGCCAGATTGTATATATATATTGAATTGCCAGGAGTACTGCCGGCTGGCAATGGGCCTTGATACCTATATACACTGCCTTCACTTTTGCCCAACACACACACACACACACACACACACACACATACACACATACACACAGGATCAGTGACAATCATAAGCCTTCTGCCCCACCGCAAATACAAACACACACAGGTGAAAGCACATGAGTACCAGCTGGAAAATCCTCTTGTTGATTTGACACTCTTAAGACCAGTGAAATCTCTGCTTTCTCAGTGATTCTTTTGTTTGTCTGTGTGTTTGCTTGTTGTTAGTCTTTTGTGGCAGTTTTTTTTTTCTGTGTATCAGCCCTGTCCTGGATGTCACTTTGTAGAAGAGGTCTTGCCAGGAACACATGTAGCTCCGCGGCCTAGTCTTCTTCTGGAGACTGTGATTAAGTGTGCAGGAGACCACCACGAATCTCACGGTCATTCTTCGTGCATCTGGAAAATGAGCAGTGGGTAACCACTCTCTCCCTGCCAGCCACCTGCTCGCCACCTTATCTGGAGGTTACTCACTTGCACCACAAGAGGTCTTTTCTACTTCTTCTTTTTTTTTTTTTTTAGAGTTTTTATTTTTTTTTATTTAATTTTATATAACAAAGTCCAATTAAATGAAAACAAACATTTATACACAATATTTGGGAATTTTGGCGTCGTTCTTTCCAAACTATTTCCTGCTGGTAAGTGGCGCTGTCTTGGGGGATTCGAAGAAGATTCAGATATCCTAGCTGTAGTCTATAGGGCTGTTTTGTCCAGCTGTTTGGAATGTAGGATCATCTTGTACTCTGTTTCAGGCCGTCTGGCGTGATCAAACCACATTAGTCTGGAAGGAATCCACATCTTTTCATTTTCTGTGGAAACAAAAATAGAAATCCTTTACCCCAGTAACTTGTTCTTCAACTTAAATTTTGGAGTCAAAGCGTTTTTTTTTTTTTTTTTTTAATTTATTATTTTACATGTCGATCCCAGTTCCCTCTCCCGCCCTCCTTCCCTCCCCCTCCAGACCTCCCTCCCTCCTTCCCTCCCTTTTGCCCTCTCTGCCCTCTCACATGCACTCTAAACACCCTTCCCTCCCAACCCCCCACCACAATTCCATATGTAGGGGAATACCATACAGTTGGTCATGTAGATCTGACAAGTCCTGTGAAGTAGGGAATAGGGCTTCTCTCCTATCTCTAGAATAAGGCAGTTATCCCACCATGGGGGATATGTTTGCAAAGTCCTTTTGTGCACCAGGGATACATCCTGGCTCCACTGTCTGAGGTCTCTTAGACTGTTCAGACCTTCTGGCTGAGACCCATATTCAGGGGGGTCCGAGTCAGTCCCCTGTTGGCTTCCCAGCTATCAGTCTAGTGGCCCTTAGCTCCTCCTTGTTCAGGTAAGCTGTCTCTATGTACTTCTACCACATGATCTTGGCTTCTCCATCTGCTTCTGGGTTCTAGTTCGACTCAGTGTTTACGTATGGGTGTTTACTCCTATTTTCAAAAGGCATTAGTTGAGGACTCCATGGAGAAGTTAGTTGTTGATCTCACTCTCCGGGAAGGGCATTTATGATAGCCTTTCCACGGTAGCTGAGATTGTTAGTTTGGAGCAGTCTTGTAGTTCCCTCGACCTTTCTTTGTGTTCAACTTTATCTTCAAACCAATATTGGTTCCCTCTTTTATGTTCTCTCTCTCTGTCTCTATCTCTATCTCTCTGTCTCTCTGTCTCTCTCTCTCTCTCTCTTTCTTATTTTCCATTCCTAACCAGGCTCCATCCTCCTGGTCACACATGCCTTCCTCCCCTCCCCCTCTTTTTCTCCTACTTCTCACTCCATTAGCTGTCCTCCCCCACATTACCTGAGCTCTGGGGGATTGTCCTTTCCCAGTTCTGTGAGGGACTTTATATGAATCTCTTAGAATACAACTTGTATCCTAGTTCCTCTGGTGATGTGAATTATAGGCTGGTGATCATTTTATCTAGTTCTAAAATCCATATATGAGTGAGTACATACTGTTTTTCTCTTTTTGTGACTGGGTTACCTCATTCAGGATGGTTTCTTCAAATGCCATCCACTTGCCTGCGAATTTCAAGATTTTTTTGTGCAGAGTAGTATTCCATTGTGTAGATGTGCCACATCTTCATTAACCATTGTTCAATTGAGGAACATCTAGGTTGCTTCCAGATTCTTGCTATTACAAATAGTGCTGCTATGAACATAGTTGAACAGATGTCTTTGTTGCATTGATGTGAATCCTTTGGGTATATGCCTAAGAGGGGGATGGCCGGGTCCTGTGGTAAACTAATTCCCATTTTCCTGAGGAACCGCCATACTGATCTCCAAAATGGCTGTATGAGTTTGCACTCCCACCAGCAGTGGAGGAGTGTTCCACTTTCTCCACATCCTCTCCAACATAAGTTATCACTGGTGTTTCTAATTTTAGCCATTCTGGCAGGGGTAAGATGGTATCTCAAAGTTGTTTGATTTGCATTTCCCTGATAGCTAAGGATGTGGAGCATTTTCTTAAGTGTCTTTAAGCCTTTTTGGTTTCCTCCATTGAGAATTCTTCTTTCAGTTCTGTACCCCATTTTTAATAGGGTTATTTGGTGTTTTCTTGACTAGTTTCTTGAGTTCTTTGTATATTTTGTTGATCAGCCCTTTTTCGGATATAGGATTAGTGAAAATCTTTTCCCAGTCAGTGGGCTGCCGTTTGGTCTTCTCAACTGTGTCATTTGCCTTACAGAAGCTTCTAAGTTTGAAGAGGTCCCATTTATTAATTGTTTCTTTCAGTGTCTGTGCCCCCAGAAATTATGTTCAAGAAGGGGACTCCTATACCAATTTGTTCAAGGGTACCTCCTACTTTCTCTTCTAAGAGATTCAATGTGGCTGGATTGATGTTGAGGTCTGTGATCCATTTGGACTTGAGTTTTGTGCATGGCGACAGACATGGGTCTATATGCAGTCTTCTACACACCCTCATCCAATTGTGCCAGCACCATTTGTGGAACATGCTGTCTTTGCCCCATTGTATAATTTTAGCTGTTTTGTAGAAAATCAGTTGTTCATAGTTGCTTGGATTAATATCAGGATATTCAATTCGATTCCATTGGTCTACCTGTCAATTTTTATGCCAATACCAGGCTGTTTTAAGAATTATATCTCTGTAGTAGAGCTTAAAGTCAGGAATGGTGATGCCTCTTGAAGTTCTTTTACTGTATACAGTTGCTTTGGCTATCCTGGGTCTTTTGTTTTTCCAAATAAAGTTGATTATTATCCTTTCAAGGTCGGTGAAGAATTGTGGTGGGATTTTAATGGGGATTGCATTGAATCTGTAGATTGCTTTTGGTAAGATTGCCATCTCCCAACCCTGAAGTTATATTTACTGGGGATTCTGCCGTCCAGCCTAAGGATGCCATGCTGTAGCATGGTAACATGCTAGACAAGGAGTCTACGGCCTCCGGATTCCTCCCTCAGCTGGTCAAGCTTATTTGAGGTGCGCTGGTCCTTCCTCACTTTCCCTATTCTACCTGGGGAACTGCCGGTGGCGCCAGGCATGCACGGCTCCTGGCTTCTGGTCTATCTGGCTGCCTGCATGCCTCAAGTCTCTGCTCAAGGATGCAAGCTCAGCAGCAGTGGGGGCTTGACTTGGCTGCTCTCCAAGCCAAGCCCGCAGGGCTGTGGGCGGAGCCAAGAGCCGGAGTGTATATATATTTTGATTTGCCAGGAGTACTGGAGGCTGGCAAAGGGCCTTGATACCTCCTCGTGGAGAGGTGGTCTTGTGGAGACTTGCAAGAGCAAGAACAGGGAGGTCCTGGGAAGGCGTCCTTCCTGGTCTGGATGGCAGGAGTCAGCAGTGTGGGGAACAGTCCCGTGGCCCGGGAATCCCGGGCATCCCGGCGCAGAAAGATCATCTGGAATGGTATGCAGAAAGAGGCCCTCGTGAGAGCTTTCGCCAAGAGCCCTTACCCAAGCTTCAGGGCCAGGGAGCAACTGGCCAGGGAAATCGGCTTGCCAGAGTCGCGGGTCCGGGTGTGGTTTCAGAACCGCCGAAGTCGCACAGGGCTGGTGAGGCAAGGCCCGAAGCCCTCGACAGCCCTTAGTGTCGCAGAGCCCCTGCAGCCTCACGAAGAGTCCGGTGCCAGGCTGCAAGGTAGAAGAAGCAACCCGTCGGGACGCAGAAGGCTTCGCACTCGACTCAGCTCCACACAGTTGATCATCTTAAGACAAGCTTTTGAGAGGCAGCCCTACCCGGGCTTTGCTGCCAGGGAGGAGCTCGCCCAAAGGACCGGTTTGCCTGAAGACACCATCCACATATGGTTTCAGAACAGAAGAGCACGCCACCGAGCTGCTGGCAAGGCCAGAGTTCCAGGTCAAGACTCCCCTTCCTGCCCTGCTCGCAATGCACCACTGCCTGCCAGGGAGACTCAGCTTACCCAGGACAGCTTGTTGCCACGGTCTGCTGCACGAGATGTGGGCACACGGGATTTGACTCTCACCTGCCCACCAACCTCCTCCGGAATCTCCTGGACAGCAGCGCCACAGCCCTCCTCTCCAGCAGACCGGCCAGAGGCACGTGCAGTTGCAAGGCTCTCTCCTGATCCCATGCTGGCAGGAAAACAAACTGACCAAGAGGCGAGGGACACTCTGGATCTCTATGACCCGTGGGAGCAGATTCAGCCAAGCCTCGAGGGCCCTCTTGACGAAGAAGAATACCAGGCTCTCCTGGATCAGCTCTGAAGCACACACAACAAGGCTTCATTTTCTCATCGGGGACGGCGCTCTTGGCCAGACACGAAAGCCTTTACACGCAACCCCACACAAAGGACACCATGGACCTCCCAATCTCCTGGGCCGGGAGCCCATGGACAGGGAACACCTGGCTACAAACAACCCAACAATTCAACCTGGACTTAGAAGCTGGGAGGAGATGGCCTGCCCACGAGACCCAGAACTAGAAAATTTGCCTGGCAGGAGGCAATTGTCCCGGAGACTGCTGCGAAATTTTTCCAGGGGAAGACAGGGACAGACCTCAACAAGGCGGCAGACTTAGGAAAACCCTGGACAGGCTCCTCAGACAAGATACTGCCTGAAGTGCATCCCAGCAGGACTCTGAGGGCAACACCTCAGCCCTACACTCTGTGGGCCTCGATGGAACACTCCGGCCAAAGGAGCCTTTGTTCTCTGCTAACTTTGTCGGCCCTGGAGTTGTGAAGCAGGGAAGGAGGAAAATGCCACTAGAGGATGGCCACTGCCAGCAATAGATGGAGCACCTGAGGGATGGGGGAAGACTGGGGATGGAGAAAATAGCGCTCTGCTAGCTAGATTCAGTGCCCTGGACACACTTGATCCAATTCTGAATGTGAAGTCGAATAAATCTGAATGAACAAACACAAAGAGACATAACTTGAAAAATGGACTCGATCAATGTGTGTTCCATGTGAAATACTTTAATTTTCCTCCCTTCTCTATTACTAATTTTTCTTAAATCCTTTCCTTTTTTGTTTATTCTTTTATCTCTCTCTCTCTCTATTTTGTTTTTTTTTTTTTTTAATTTTTGGTTTAGATTTTTGGTTTTGTTTTGTTTTTTTCTTTTGTTTTCCCTTTTTTTGTAGAGGTTGGGTCTTCTTGATCATTCCTCTTTAAAAATATTTTTTTCACACACAAAACCCAAATACACTGCCTTCACTTTTGCCCAACACACACACACACACACACACACACACACACACACATACACACATACACACAGGATCAGTGACAATCATAAGCCTTCTGCCCCACCGCAAACACAAACACACACAGGTGAAAGCACATGAGTACCAGCTGGAAAATCCTCTTGTTGATTTGACACTCTTAAGACCAGTGAAATCTCTGCTTTCTCAGTGATTCTTTTGTTTGTCTGTGTGTTTGCTTGTTGTTAGTCTTTTGTGGCAGTTTTTTTTTCTGTGTATCAGCCCTGTCCTGGATGTCACTTTGTAGAAGAGGTCTTGCCAGGAACACATGTAGCTCCGCGGCCTAGTCTTCTTCTGGAGACTGTGATTAAGTGTGCAGGAGACCACCACGAATCTCACGGTCATTCTTCGTGCATCTGGAAAATGAGCAGTGGGTAACCACTCTCTCCCTGCCAGCCACCTGCTCGCCACCTTATCTGGAGGTTACTCACTTGCACCACAAGAGGTCTTTTCTACTTCTTCTTTTTTTTTTTTTTTTTTAGAGTTTTTATTTTTTTTATTTAATTTTATATAACAAAGTCCAATTAAATGAAAACAAACATTTATACACAATATTTGGGAATTTTGGCGTCGTTCTTTCCAAACTATTTCCTGCTGGTAAGTGGCGCTGTCTTGGGGGATTCGAAGAAGATTCAGATATCCTAGCTGTAGTCTATAGGGCTGTTTTGTCCAGCTGTTTGGAATGTAGGATCATCTTGTACTCTGTTTCAGGCCGTCTGGCGTGATCAAACCACATTAGTCTGGAAGGAATCCACATCTTTTCATTTTCTGTGGAAACAAAAATAGAAATCCTTTACCCCAGTAACTTGTTCTTCAACTTAAATTTTGGAGTCAAAGCGTTTTTTTTTTTTTTTAATTTATTATTTTACATGTCGATCCCAGTTCCCTCTCCCGCCCTCCTTCCCTCCCCTCCAGACCTCCCTCCCTCCTTCCCTCCCTTTTGCCCTCTCTGCCCTCTCACATGCACTCTAAACACCCTTCCCTCCCAACCCCCCCACCACAATTCCATATGTAGGGGAATACCATACAGTTGGTCATGTAGATCTGACAAGTCCTGTGAAGTAGGGAATAGGGCTTCTCTCCTATCTCTAGAATAAGGCAGTTATCCCACCATGGGGGATATGTTTGCAAAGTCCTTTTGTGCACCAGGGATACATCCTGGCTCCACTGTCTGAGGTCTCTTAGACTGTTCAGACCTTCTGGCTGAGACCCATATTCAGGGGGGGTCCGAGTCAGTCCCCTGTTGGCTTCCCAGCTATCAGTCTAGTGGCCCTTAGCTCCTCCTTGTTCAGGTAAGCTGTCTCTATGTACTTCTACCACATGATCTTGGCTTCTCCATCTGCTTCTGGGTTCTAGTTCGACTCAGTGTTTACGTATGGGTGTTTACTCCTATTTTCAAAAGGCATTAGTTGAGGACTCCATGGAGAAGTTAGTTGTTGATCTCACTCTCCGGGAAGGGCATTTATGATAGCCTTTCCACGGTAGCTGAGATTGTTAGTTTGGAGCAGTCTTGTAGTTCCCTCGACCTTTCTTTGTGTTCAACTTTATCTTCAAACCAATATTGGTTCCCTCTTTTATGTTCTCTCTCTCTGTCTCTATCTCTATCTCTCTGTCTCTCTGTCTCTCTCTCTCTCTCTCTTTCTTATTTTCCATTCCTAACCAGGCTCCATCCTCCTGGTCACACATGCCTTCCTCCCCTCCCCCTCTTTTTCTCCTACTTCTCACTCCATTAGCTGTCCTCCCCCACATTACCTGAGCTCTGGGGGATTGTCCTTTCCCAGTTCTGTGAGGGACTTTATATGAATCTCTTAGAATACAACTTGTATCCTAGTTCCTCTGGTGATGTGAATTATAGGCTGGTGATCATTTTATCTAGTTCTAAAATCCATATATGAGTGAGTACATACTGTTTTTCTCTTTTTGTGACTGGGTTACCTCATTCAGGATGGTTTCTTCAAATGCCATCCACTTGCCTGCGAATTTCAAGATTTTTTTGTGCAGAGTAGTATTCCATTGTGTAGATGTGCCACATCTTCATTAACCATTGTTCAATTGAGGAACATCTAGGTTGCTTCCAGATTCTTGCTATTACAAATAGTGCTGCTATGAACATAGTTGAACAGATGTCTTTGTTGCATTGATGTGAATCCTTTGGGTATATGCCTAAGAGGGGGATGGCCGGGTCCTGTGGTAAACTAATTCCCATTTTCCTGAGGAACCGCCATACTGATCTCCAAAATGGCTGTATGAGTTTGCACTCCCACCAGCAGTGGAGGAGTGTTCCACTTTCTCCACATCCTCTCCAACATAAGTTATCACTGGTGTTTCTAATTTTAGCCATTCTGGCAGGGGTAAGATGGTATCTCAAAGTTGTTTGATTTGCATTTCCCTGATAGCTAAGGATGTGGAGCATTTTCTTAAGTGTCTTTAAGCCTTTTTGGTTTCCTCCATTGAGAATTCTTCTTTCAGTTCTGTACCCCATTTTTAATAGGGTTATTTGGTGTTTTCTTGACTAGTTTCTTGAGTTCTTTGTATATTTTGTTGATCAGCCCTTTTTCGGATATAGGATTAGTGAAAATCTTTTCCCAGTCAGTGGGCTGCCGTTTGGTCTTCTCAACTGTGTCATTTGCCTTACAGAAGCTTCTAAGTTTGAAGAGGTCCCATTTATTAATTGTTTCTTTCAGTGTCTGTGCCCCAGAAATTATGTTCAAGAAGGGGACTCCTATACCAATTTGTTCAAGGGTACCTCCTACTTTCTCTTCTAAGAGATTCAATGTGGCTGGATTGATGTTGAGGTCTGTGATCCATTTGGACTTGAGTTTTGTGCATGGCGACAGACATGGGTCTATATGCAGTCTTCTACACACCCTCATCCAATTGTGCCAGCACCATTTGTGGAACATGCTGTCTTTGCCCCATTGTATAATTTTAGCTGTTTTGTAGAAAATCAGTTGTTCATAGTTGCTTGGATTAATATCAGGATATTCAATTCGATTCCATTGGTCTACCTGTCAATTTTTATGCCAATACCAGGCTGTTTTAAGAATTATATCTCTGTAGTAGAGCTTAAAGTCAGGAATGGTGATGCCTCTTGAAGTTCTTTTACTGTATACAGTTGCTTTGGCTATCCTGGGTCTTTTGTTTTTCCAAATAAAGTTGATTATTATCCTTTCAAGGTCGGTGAAGAATTGTGGTGGGATTTTAATGGGGATTGCATTGAATCTGTAGATTGCTTTTGGTAAGATTGCCATCTCCCAACCCTGAAGTTATATTTACTGGGGATTCTGCCGTCCAGCCTAAGGATGCCATGCTGTAGCATGGTAACATGCTAGACAAGGAGTCTACGGCCTCCGGATTCCTCCCTCAGCTGGTCAAGCTTATTTGAGGTGCGCTGGTCCTTCCTCACTTTCCCTATTCTACCTGGGGAACTGCCGGTGGCGCCAGGCATGCACGGCTCCTGGCTTCTGGTCTATCTGGCTGCCTGCATGCCTCAAGTCTCTGCTCAAGGATGCAAGCTCAGCAGCAGTGGGGGCTTGACTTGGCTGCTCTCCAAGCCAAGCCCGCAGGGCTGTGGGCGGAGCCAAGAGCCGGAGTGTATATATATTTTGATTTGCCAGGAGTACTGGAGGCTGGCAAAGGGCCTTGATACCTCCTCGTGGAGAGGTGGTCTTGTGGAGACTTGCAAGAGCAAGAACAGGGAGGTCCTGGGAAGGCGTCCTTCCTGGTCTGGATGGCAGGAGTCAGCAGTGTGGGGAACAGTCCCGTGGCCCGGGAATCCCGGGCATCCCAGCGCAGAAAGATCATCTGGAATGGTATGCAGAAAGAGGCCCTCGTGAGAGCTTTCGCCAAGAGCCCTTACCCAAGCTTCAGGGCCAGGGAGCAACTGGCCAGGGAAATCGGCTTGCCAGAGTCGCGGGTCCGGGTGTGGTTTCAGAACCGCCAAAGTCGCACAGGGCTGGTGAGGCAAGGCCCGAAGCCCTCGACAGCCCTAAGTGTCGCAGAGCC